TGTGCTATCATGACCATCAGGCAGAGCGATAGGAAAACACAAAAGGTGACATCTCAGCCCAGACACCGAATTGTGGGTGTGAGGCTTTGTTCAGAATCTCTCTTAGAGTTTTAACCTGGAATCAGCCTGGTTTTGTTCTAAAAGCAGGAATTTATAAGATGCCACACTGACTGACTGTGACTATAATTTGTGTGTTTTTTGAAAAAATAGAATGTATCTGCAAATAAACAAACATTTTGGATGATATGGTTCACCCCATAGATTTATGTGTGTGTGTGTGTGTGTGAGAGAGAGGGTCCGTGTGAGTGTGTATATGAGTGTGTTTGTGTGAGAGTGGGTCCGTGTGAGTGTGTGTATGAGTGTGTTTGTATGAGAGAGAAGTGTGTATGTGTGCATGAGTGTGAAAGCGTGTTTGTATGAGAGTTGTGTGTGTGTGTGGTGTGTGTGTGTAAGTGTGTGTGTGAGACAGTGTAATAAGTGATTCAAAACTGCACAAACTAATTAAGGTAGAGAGACCATAACAATTTATGAAGGTGATGCTGTCAAAACAGGACAGTAAGGAAGATTTTATAGATACAGAACAGTGTGGTGGGGTCACCTGTAACGTGACATGAACCCAAGGTCATGGATCATGTCTTCATGGGTATGGAACTTGGCTATCAGTCTCAGCTCGGCGATTCCGTATTGTTGTGTATCTCGGAGTCCGCCTTGGAGGACGCTTACCCAATCATCAACTTGGATACTACCGTCACACGTAGGAACACCACCCACCACGTACACAGCAGATACTCATGTGACTCGGCCAACGTTGACTATCTCATACACTGCAGGCAAGGATCCCCCCAGGAATGGTACATTGGCGAGACCATGCAGAAGCTAAGACAACAGATGAATGGACACTGCGCAACAATTGCCAAACAGGGATGTTCCCTTCCAGTGAGGGAACACCTCAGTGATCAAGGATATTCGGCCTCGGATCCTCGGGTAAATGCCCTCCAAGGCAGACTTCGGGATACACAGCAATGCAGAGTCGCCGAGCAGAGACTGACAGCCAAGTTCCACACCTATGAAGACGGCCTCAACCGTGATGTTGGGGTCATGTTGCACTACAGGTGATCCTACCACACTGTTCTGTACCTGTAAAATCTTCCTTACTGTCCTGTTTTGACAGCATCACCTTGATAAATTGTTATGATCTGTCTACTTTAATTAGTTGGTACAATTTTGAATTACTTATTACACTGTCTCTCGCACACACTCTCTCACACACTCTTTCGCACACATTCACACGTACACACACACTTCCTCACACAAACACACACACAAGCACAATCACACAGATCCTGTCTCACACACACACACTCACACAAACTCTCTCACACTGACATACACACACACACAAACACACACACACACATATAAATTTATGGGGTGAATCATTTCATCCAAGATGTTTGTTTATTTGCATATACATTCTATTTTGTCAAATAAAATGGATAGTCACAGTCAGTCAGTGTGACATCTTATAAGTTCTTGCTTTTGTAATAAAACCAGCCTGATTCTAGGTTAAAACTCTGAGAGAGATTTTGAACAAGACCTCACACCCACTATTGAGTGTCTGAGCTGAGATGTCACCTTTTGTATAATCCTATCGCTCTGCCTGATGGTCATGATAGCACAGCACTGACATTGACTTTATAACCACGTTACTTGCTGACTAACACTCTCGGTCACCTGCAGAGACTTATTACCTGACACTCCAGTCACACCAGTTGTATGATCTTTTGACCTCTCTGCCTATAAACTCTGTCTGTGCACTTTTCCCTCTCACTGCACCTGACGAAGAGTGCTGCACTCTGAAAACTTGCGTGATTTCAAATAAACTTTTGAACAATAACCTGCTGTTGTGTGACTTCTGACTTTGTCAATCACAGTCCAACACTGGCATCTCCACATCGCCACATCAGCGCCTTCTGAGGCAAAGTTCCAAAGTTGCATAACCGTCTGAGAGTAAAAATTCCCCTCATCTCTGACCTAAAAGGACAACACCTAATTTTAAAACAGTGTGATCTAGTACTAGATCCACCCACATAAGTAAACATCCTGTGCATGTCCACCTTATCAAGGTTCTTCAGAAGTTTATAAATTTCAACCAAATCAGTCCACACTCTTCAGACATCAGTGAAAACAAGCTCAGCCCATCCCAGTCATTCCTCAGAAACAATTGAGTCATTCCCATGTCAGTCAAATGAACCTTTTAGCTTTCACAGAATTATCCCTGTATATAATTAAATCTTTGAATTAAATAGGGCTTACATGAAGGCGAGGAACACTAACAACAAAATAAAGGCATGAAGAGTCTGTGCTTAGTATTTTGTTTTATTTGTAATACGTAGCAAGATAAATCATGATCAAATGCATCTTTGAATGATTTGTTGATAATGGGCATGAAAACACACAAGTTCTTGCCCAAAAAGCTCAGTGGCCTGACCAATTAGCTGGAGAAGGAACTGAGGATTGTCTCTGACACATTAATAGGTTGTGCAGAGTTGGTTAATTGAAGGCAAAGTGGTAGATATTGTCTGTATGGACTTCAGCAAGGTGTTCAAAAAGGTTCCGAATTGTTCGCAAGGTTAGAACACATGGAATCCAGGGGAGCTAGCCAATTGGACATAATATAACATACCTTCGAAGGTAGGAGACAGAGAGTGGTGGTGCTGATACAAAGTTACTTTTCAGAATGGAGGCCTGCGACAACCAGTGTACCACAAGGATCAGTGCTGGGTCCACTGCATTTTCTCATTTATATAAATGATTTGGATGTGAATATAGGAGGTACGGTTAGTAAGTTTGTAGATGACACCAAAACTGGTGGTGTAGTGGGCAATGATGAAGATTTTCTCAAAGTACAACAGAACTTTAATTAGATGGGCCAATCGGCAGAGGAATGGTTGATGAAGTTTAACTTCAATAAAACGTGAGGTGTTGCATTTTGATAAACCAAACCAGGGCAGGACTTATACACTTAATGGTAGGAACCTGGGAACTGTTGCTGAACAAAGAGACCTAGAGATGTAAGAGCATAGTTCTTGGAAAGTGGAGTCCAAGCTAGATGGGGTGGTGAAAAAGGTGTTTGGTACACTTGCCTTTATTGGTCAGTTCATTGAGTTTAGGAGCTTGGATGGCATGTTGCAGCTGTACAGGATCTTGGTGAGGTCACTTTTAGAATACTGTGTTCACAGATTTGCAAGGATGTTACTGGAATTGGACTGTTTGAGCTACAGGGAGAGGCTAAATAGGCTGATGCTTTTTTCCCTGGAGCACAGAGGTTGAGGAGACCTTATAGAGGTTTATAAAATCTTGAGGGGCATGGATAGGGTGAACAGCCAAGGTCCTTTTTCTCCCAGAGTGGGGGAGTATAAAATTAGATGGCATAGGTTTAAGGTGAGAGGGAAAAGATTTAACATGACCTGGGGGACAACTTTTTCACACAGAGGGTGGTGCGTGTATGAACTGAGATGCCAGAGGAAGTGGTGAATGCTGGTACAATTACAACATTTAAAAGGCAGCAGGATGAGTATATGAATAGGAAGGATTTAGAGGGATATGGGCCAAATGCTGGCAAATGGGACTAGATCAGTTTGGGATATCTGGTCAGCGTGGATGAATTGGATTGAAGGGTCTGTTTCTGTGCTGTAAACTCTGACTCTATAACTCTATCTGTCCTTTAATCAGGAGACCACAACTGTACATGGTATTCAAGCTGCGGTCTCAGCAATGTCTCGTATAAATAAAACATAATATCCTTACTGCTATGTTCAATTCCACTCTCTGAAGCACCTTTCATCAGGGTAAATGCATGACTGCAATTTTTATTTTTGCTGCAATTTTGATGTAGTAATACTTCCCAAAGTGCTTTAAGGTAATTGAATTCAGTATTAATTGGGTACTGAGCCCAAATCTTTTCAGAGAGGTGGGGCAGACTGGTATGTTACCAGACCAGCAATCCAGAGGCCCAGACTGATGGGAAATGTGTTCAAATCTCAGTATTGTGGCAGCTAGTGAGATTTACATTGCCCAGTGGTCACATGGCTAAATGGATAAAGAACCTGGCATTGGCGTGGGTAAGGAGACTGGCATTGTGGTGTTCTAAGGAAATTGCAAGTTTGAGTCCTGCTGTGATCATTTTGTTTGGCTTTTATGGTGCAGTAGTAGTGTGCCTACCTATGAGCCAGAAAGCCCAGGTTCGAATCCCATCGGCTCCACTAGTGTGACATAACATCTCTGCAAAGGCTAATTTAAAATAATATCTTATATGGGACCCAAGCCAAAGATGAAAATACTAAAAAGAGCTGGATACTGAGGTTGGTCTTAAAGAAAGTAATGTATTTGGAAAGCATAATGGTTTAGGGAGGGCTTTCTAGGTGGCCAATGGCTGGCCCAGCTGATACGGTGGAGCAAAAATGGCCAGAGCCAGAGAAACAGTGAGTTTGGGGAAAGGGATGGGCTGACTAGAGTGGCACAGTGATTCAGTGGTTAGCACGGCTGCCTCACAGCGTCAGGAACCTGGGTTCGATTCCAGCCTTGGATGACTGTCACTGGGGTGTCTGCAAGTTCTCCCCATGTCTGTGTGGGTTTGCTCTGGTTTCCTTCCATAGTTCAAAGGCATGCGGGTTAGATAGCAATTAGCCATGCTAATTGCCCCATGGTGTCCAGGGGTGTATAGGCTGAGTGGATTGGCTATGGGAAATACAGGGATAGGATAGGGGTGAGTCTGGGTCAGATGGTCTTCAGAGAGCCAGTGTGAACATGTTGGACTGAATGGCCTGCATCCGTGCTGTAGGGGTTCTATGATTATAGCAGTCAAAAAGGTTGTATGTGGGGCAGAGGAGCTGGGCTATGAAGCCATTTTGAATGTACCGGTCATCATTCTAAATTGGAGGAATTAAGAATGTGCAATGTTTATACATTGACTACATTATGCATTTAAATGTTTGCAGACAGAATTGCTTTGGGGCAAGTCACGCAGGGAATTGGAAGAGATAATCCACACGGAGCCTGTAATAGGCTGGGAAGGAGAAGACATTGGTTCGCTTGGTGAAATTGTGTGGTCCTCCTCTGTTGTCCTTCATGAACAATACAACAAGGTAACTCATATTCACTGCAACCATGTCAGATTAAAATCCACTTGAAGTACCACGCCTTATGTCCTTTAATCTGAACCCTCTCTTCTTCCCAGCCAGCCTGAGCATGTATCATGATTGGTGTGACTGAGTGGTATAAGGCAAGGTAATGAGGTGTTAGGATGGCATGGGTTCAAATCCCACCACTGTTGACATTTAGTGGGTTGGTGTGGTGCAGTGGTAGTGTCCCTGTCTCTGAGCCAAGAGGCATAGGTTCAAGACCAGCCTATCCAGAGGTATGTAATAACATTTTGAGTAGATTCGTAGCTGGGGTTGTGGATGTTGTGGTTGGTTGGCTCGCTGAGCTGGTTCGTTGTTCCGCAGACATTTCATTACCCTGCTGGGTAACATCATCAGTGCAGCCTCCGATGAAGTGTTGTTGTGTTTTCGTTATTTAAACTCTGGTGTCCGTTGAGCTGGATTACCTCATTTCAGGTTTTTCTTCCCAGTGGCGTATATATAGGGTCTAGCTCTATGTGTTTGTTGATGGCCTTCTAGGAATTCCCGTGCTTGTCTCTGTTTGGCCTGCATTTATATAGCGAAGCATGTATTCCCATTGCAGGAGATTGGGTGCCACCATGATCCAGCCACAACACAGTTGCAACAACCAGGAGCAGAAAGAGAAATCTGAATATATGATTTTCCCCTACGTGCCTTTTTTTTAAAATAAACTTTTTCTCTATTTTTCCGTAATGGAGGAAGACTGTTATTTAGTGGTAATGTCAATGGAATAATAAATTCGAAAGAATAGGACTGAAATCCCCATGACAAATGATTAAAATTTAAATATCAATACAAATAATCAATGCATATAATCCTTAATAACAACTGAAAGACCTGTAGATGCTGTAAATCAGGGATAAAAACAGAAGTTGCTGGAAAAGCTCAGCAGGACTGGCAGCATCTGTGAAGGAAAAATTAGAGTTAACGTTTTGGGTCTGGTGACCCTTCCTCAGAACTGACTGTCGCTGGGAGAACGTCGGTTTATATGCAGAAGATAGGGAGGGGGAGGAATAGGGAGTAAACGATAGGTAGAGATAGAGGCCAAAAAGAGAGAAGAGCAGTTGGATAGACAAAAGGAATTGATGACGATCGGGCTAGGAGGATAAATAGATGTTAATGGGGACTGTTAGTGACTAACCATACATAGCGTGTAATGGCAGGCAATGTGGCAACAAGGCCTGGTGTGTGGGGTAGGGGGCTAGGACATGGGAGAGTTTAGGCCCAAAAATTATTGAACTTGATATTGAGTAAGGAGGGCTGCAGGGTCCCCAAGCGGAAAATGAAGTGTTGTTCTTCCAGCTTGCACTGAGCTTCACTGGAGCACTGCAACAAGCCAGAGACAGAGATGTTGACCAGGGAACAAGGTGGTGTGTGGCAGGCAACTGGAAGCTCAGGATCTTTTTAGCGAGCAGAACGCAGATGTTCTGCAAAGCAGTCACCCAGTCTACACTTCTTTTCCCAATGTAGAGGAGACCACACTGTGAGCAGCAAATGCAGTAGACTAGATCGTGGAACGTGCAGGTGAAGTGTTGCTCCACCTGGAAGGTATGTTTGGGCCGTTGGATACTGGGAAGGGAGGAGGTAAATGGGCAGGTATTACACCTTCACCAGTTGCAGAGCAAGGTGCCATGGGGCTGTGGAGGGGTGTTGGGGGTGAAGGAAGTGTGGACCAGGGTGTCCCAGAGGGAACGGTCCCTGTGGAAGGCGGACGAGGGAGGGGAGGACAATATGCGTCTGTTGGTGGCATCTCGCTGGAGGTGGCGGAAATGGTGTCTGATGATCTTCTGGATGTGGATGCAGGTGGGATGGTAGATAAGGAGAAGGGGACCCCTATTGTTGTTGCAGGAGGGAAGAGAAGAGGTGAGGGCGGAAGTGCAGGAGATGGGTCGGACCTGGTTGAGGGCCCTGTCAACAACGGTGCTGGGGAATCCTCAGTTGAGAAAGAAATAATCCTTAAGAAATAACCCTTACCTGGTCTCGTCTACAGACCCACGGCAAAGAGCAATAAGTACTGGTCTTGCTAGTGACACCCATGTCCCATGAACAAATGTGATTGAACTTAATAGAATGCAGCAAGCTATTTATTGGTCAGTGACTGCAAGTAAAATGGCATTAAAAAACTCAAGTGTAAAGTCATAAAGATGTATAGCATGGAAAGAGACCTTTCGGTCCAACTTATCCATGCCCCGACCAGATATCCTAAATTAATCTGGTCCCATTTGCTAGCATATGGCCTATAAATGTGTTTATTCTCATTGTGCACACTTCCTGTTATTAAAAAAAGCTAAGTATGGTGATGGATATATTAATAAAATGAGCTGATAATTTGTGAATATATTTCATCGGTTTAGGTCCTGTATTCTGGAAGAAGAATTACCAAGATTGTGATTTGATCCTCCTCTAAAAGATAGGCAGCAGTAGTTGCCAGGACCATGGTTAATGTTTGACAAGCAAGTGAACCCTTGTGATTTCCTACTCTAAGTTTGTGCATGGGCATATGATGCTCTCATAGCGGTGACGTGACCCACAATTGGGATCTTTATTTTCTGGTTTCCATGCCCTCAAGACTAGCCCAAAGCACTCTGCAGGGAATTAAATGCTTGAGGCCGGATGGCTGATTTGCGATGTGGAGTGTTGCCAAAAGCATAGTTTCAATTCCTACTCCAGCTGTGGTTACTATGAAGGACTCTCCTTCTCAACCTTTCCCCTCACCTGAGGTGTGGTGACCCCCAGGCTAACCAGCATCTCTGTCTAATATGAGAGAGCAGCCCTATGGTCAGGTGGACTTTAGCGACATGTGAAAAAACGAGAATCCCTCTTCTCTTGCAGAAAATGCAACAAGCAAGTTGCACATTGCCAATCCCTACAAACAGCAAGATAATACACTTGCTTTTCTTTGAACTAGCATCAATGATCTTTTACATTCGTGTGAGATCTCAGACGGGACTCCAGTTTGACATATCAGTTGAACAATAACATTTCTAACCGTATTGCACTCCCTCAGAACTGCACAGGAGTGCCAACCTAGATATTTTTCTCAAGTTTTTTGAGTGGGCCTCAAGCTCATTAACGCCGTGACTCAGAGTATCCGACCCCCAAGCCATTGCTGACAAACATTAAAAAGAGTTGATCTTCCACCACTTGAGGTGTAAATTTGTAACTACTCACAGCCTGCAGTATTAAATCTTAACAAGCTGTTTATTGTTGCTGCTTTAAGGCATTTAAGATCTTCGCTGTCTGTGAGCAGAAACCTGTCTGCAGTTGATGACTGAGTAACAGCCAGGTGTTGGACGATGATGAAGAGAATGCCAATATTAACTGCAGGCAGGAGTGATTGGGGTGAAGTTTGGGTTGCTAATGTTGGTTTGGGACAATGGGGCTTTGAGTGTGAATGCTGAACAAAGTTTGAGTCACTGACTGTGATATTATGGGAATCATTAGGTTGTGATGCTACAGATTGGGTTCTGGGATGCCTGTCGATTGCCCCACCATCCCTTGCCAGCTCACTTGCCCCTTCCTACTCATTTGCCTATGCCCTACAAGCCCACATGACCCCAACCTCAGTAACATCCTTCAGGTAGAGGAAGTATTACGAGAATTGGATATTCCTAAGTCATGGAGTTCAGGATTATGACTGGATGGGTTGGGAATCATAGAGGCATAGAATCATACAGCACGGAAACAGACCCTTCGGTCCAACCAGTCCTTGCCGAACATAATCCCAAACTAAACTAGTCCCACCTGCCTGCTCCTGGCCCATATCCCTCCAAACCTTTCCTATTCATGTACCTATCCAAATGTCTTTTAAGCATTATAATTGTATCCATATCCACCACTTTCTCAGGATGTTCATTCCACTCGAGAACTGCCCTCTGTATAAAAAGTTTACCTCTCGTGTCTTTCTTAAATCTCTCTCCTCTCATCTTAAAAATGTGCCCCCTAGTCTTGAAATCCCCCATCCTAGGGAAAAGACATCTCCCATTAATTCTATCTATACCCCTCATTATTTGGAGGGGTGGGGTGTGTGTATAAGTGTTAAAAGTAAAAAGTTAAAAAAAAAACAGAAATGAATACTGACAGAGGCCTGATTGAAGAGACCGTTACTTTATTCTTTGGTTGTGAGTGTCACTTCAAAGTCCCTAGTTATTGCCCAACCACAACTGGTCTTGGGAAAGTGGTAAAGAGTTGTTTTCCTGAGCGCTGTCAGCTATATGACACAAGTACTCCCAGGATGCTTTCTCATGTTGTGGTTTGGTACAATGTAATGGCTTTTTTGGTCATTTCAGAGGGCAGTAAGGAGTCAACCCATATTATTGCTGGTCTGCAGTCACATATAGTTCAGACTGGTTAAGGCTGATAGATATCTTCCCTGCAGCGAATGAGTGCATCAAATCCATTGTTACAATGATCCAGGTGGTTTCATGATCATTATGAGAGGCATGATTTATTTCAGATTTATTAATCAATTGAGTTGAGATAATCTCGGCTGCTAAACTGCCCTTTTAACTCTACAGCATTAGAAAAGATCTCTGAATTCCTAATCCAGCGACTTTTAGTTACTCCAATCAAGAGTCCACTGAACCAGACACTCAAAAATAAGGCAAAATCTTCCTGGGAATTACAGCCTCTCAGTTCCACTCCCTGTATCAAAAATTTGATGTCGAAATTTCAATGCCTGGAGATTAGTTGGATGCATTTATTGTTAAGGATGAATGCCATAAACCCATATCTGCACTTTGCGAAGAGAACCTCCTAATTATCTACAACAGCATGTTCATCACCTATTTGTCTCACCCCAGAAAATTATATCTGGTAATAAGTTTTTAATGACTAATGCAATGTCAAACAAGTATTAAGATTGAATATTTTAACCATGCACCTTTTTTTTGGTAATTTCCACAGGAAGAGAGTAAAAGACACCTCGTTCTCTTTCCATTGCATTTGTTACTTCTGGCTGTAGATGATGAGAAAAACAAGTTCATTTATGAGGTGAAAATATCTGTGTTGTCCTCAGTTTAACTCAGTTACAGAATGTGTATCCTCTACTCCATCATGATAGCAGGCTTGTACCTTTCTGTGATTTCAATGGTTGGAATAAGAAATTGACTGTCAAAATGCTTTTGTTATGTTGCACCTTCTCAACATCTCCCCTTGCCTGCGGTGTGGTGACCCTTAGGTTAAACTCACCCCGGTCGTTTCTCTCTCTCTCTAATGTGAGAGCAACCCAATTGTAGATTGGCACGTACTTTGGGGGTCAATTAGTTCGTTATGCTGGACAGCCAGCAGCACAGGGTTCAATTCCAGTACTAGCCAAGTTTACCATGAAGAACTCTCCCTCTCAACCTCACCTCAGGCGTGATGGTCCTCTGGTCAAACTGCCACCAGTCACCTCCCTCTCTAATGGGAGAGTTGCTCTGTGGAACCATTAGTTACTTTTTATTGCTGACATCTAAACTAACCCAATAAAACCTGGCTGTGCGACCAAAGCCTCAAGTGTCTTTCTCCATTGCATTGATGTAAACAGCCAGCTGAGTCAGTGCTGCTGGGAGGGATGGTGTGAGGATTGGGAATAAATGGAAATTGACTTCCTTCACTGCTTACATTTTTTACGTGCAATCTGAAGCCCAGATCAGTGTTTCCAAGACCACAGGTGGAATTCCTGACAAACCTGAGAATATAGAAAGAAAGGTTTTCAATCGCATAGTGCCTTTCACAACCACAGAACATCCCTAAACACTTTACAGCTGATTACTTTTGCAGTGGAATCTCTGTTGAAATCTAGAAGACCAATTTTGCATACAAAAGTGCTCCCACAAATAACAATGTGATAAATGCAGATAACCTGTTTGTGTGATGTTGATTCAAGGATAAATGTTTGCTTCTCTTCAAAACAGAGTTATTGTGTCTTTTACAACCAGCTTACAGGGAAAACAGAGCCTTGATTTAGTTTTGCATCCAATAGGCTGCTCCATTGACAGTGCCCTCAGTAGTGTGTTGGAGTGTCAGGTTTAATTTGTCCTGGAGTGGGTTTTGAACCGCAGCATTCTAGATCAGAGACAAAGGTGATAGATCTGCATTGTCCTGCTAATCCCATGAGAGTGAAATCCAGGCGATTTCCTAACTTTCAAATTTTGCTGAACTAGGCAACCATAAGGTCATTGTCTAAAAGATAGCTTCCCCAAAGATGAGACATAGCATAAGTAGGCCATTCAGCCCATCAAGTCTGGTCTGCCTTCAATGAGGTCATGTCTGATCTGATAACCCTCAACTCCACTTTCCTGCCTTTTCCAAATAATTCTTAATTCGCTTAGTGATTAAAAGTTTGTCTACCTCAATCTTGAATATACATAATGACCCAGCTGCTACAGCCCTCCACAGTAAAAGATTTGAGAATGAAACCAATGGAGAAAATAGCCTCTACAGTGAAATTGAATACTGTGAATAAGAATCTTTGTGTAAGGATACATATGTAAAGGAACAATGATCTAAGTAACCCCTATACATTTGTTTTGTGTTTGTGTAAGGGATGGGCATGTGTAAGGAAGTTGTATGTACTGAATGCAAGTGTCAGCAACAAGTGTATAAGAGACATGATTCTGATATTGTTGTGATATGATTTGAGGGCTTGCTAGACTGGAGAGAAAGGTTTCATGTGAAGTGGTTGGCTAAAGTGGAAAAAAATCCAAAAACTTTGAAGAAAACCAGTGAGTCTTAAAGCCACACCACTACCAAGCCTTGGATGTAACTGAGGAAATGCTGACATTTCATTGACACTCTCTTCATTTTCCAGGGATTGTTACCACTGTCTGGAATATCAGTCAAAACGTTAATGGAAACTACTTTTGAAATTACTGGTAAGAGTAAACAACATACATCTTCTTGAATGGAATTCTGCATTAAATGGCTGATTTCCAAGGTGAATATTTATTCCTCAACCAACTAAAGCTCATTAGACATTGCTGTTTGTGGGAGTTTCCTGTCAGCAAACAGACTGCATTTCCAACATTGCAACTAACTACACTGCAAAAACACTTCATTAGTTGTAAAATGCTTGACAGCCTTCCGAGTTTGAGAAAGGTGCTATGTAAATGTGTGTCTTTCTTTCTTACAGCTACACTTAATTGGGTCAGATATTCAAAGGTTTGCAACGACCAAGGAAGTTTGCAGAGTAAATTATTCTGCAATTTCATTTGGAGCTTTGTACATTGAAACTTGTCCAGATGTCTGTCTAAGATTTTGTTGAACTGGATGATATTAATGGCCACCAGTAACTTTATCCGTTGTTTTATCCGATTAAACATGTAAAAGAAGCACACTAATGATGTGCAGAATATTAGTCTATCATTTATATTCACTGCATCTTGAGAAATCAGCCAACTGCAGGTGATTATAACTTTGAGTATGCAGTGCCCAGCAAATGAGTAATCCACTTCACATGGAAAGGCTTAATTTCTGTTACATTTCCTGAGCTTATTCTATACATTGCAGTAGAATCTGTCCCAGGCCATATTTGAAAGAAAATGAATCTCTATAGATGTAGCACCTCTCACAGTTTATCCGAAAGAGCTTTGAAACCAATTTGTTATTTTTGAAACATGTTGACTTCTGTTATTTGGGTAAATATAACAATTATTATGTGGCACAATAAGGCCCCAAAACAGTGGGGCAAATGAACACAATTTTTTTTGTTGCTATTAAGTGAGGGAATAATGAATGTTCTCCAGGACACCCTATTCTTCCGCAAATAGTGTCACTTAATCTTTTACACCCCTGAACCCATTTGAAAGGCAGAACCTCCAACAACGCAGCACCTTCTTGACAGTGAAGAGCCAAACTTAGACGTGTGTTCAAGTCTGTGGAGTGAGACTACAACCCACAACCTTTTGACTCAAATTTTCAAATGTCACCTGGCACCAAGGTGGCCTTTTGATTGAGAGATGTCAGATGACGGCCGCAAACCAGTTGTGGTTTCCCTTCAGAGAACAGCAATAACAGACACGATGTCTCCACTTGCGAGTTTGCTTCGGTCCGCAAAGTATTGGCATCATTTTCATAATTCACTTCTGGTGACTATGTATTCGTCCTCATTAACAGGTGAAATTTATCTCTGGGACTTGGCATCCAAGCGAGATTTAATCATTGACTAACTGAAAAGGGTCAGTTAGCTTAAATGGCTGTTATGTGACGAAGTGTGATGCCAACAGCATTAGTTCAATTCCTACAACACTGGCTGAGGTTACCTTGAAGGTTCCCCTTTCTCAATGTCTCCCCTCACCTGAGGCATGGTGACCGTCGGGTTAAACCAACACCAGTTGTCTTTCCCAAATGAGAGAGCAGCTCTATGGTCCAGTAGGACTGCAGTGATATTATTAGCTGAAAGGTGTTCCACATCCTCAGTCCAATTGGGCCACTAGGCAAGGCTTTCAAAATCAATGTGAAAGTGCTGTATTCATGTTGCATCTTTTATGACAACAAGACATTCCAAAACATTTTACAACTAATGAAATATTTTTGGAGTATAGGCAAAGTTGTAAGGAACAAAACACAACTGGAAATTTGAACAAGCCCCCACAACCTTTGACAATGACCAGGTTACCTCTATCTTGGATTGAAGGATAAATATCCATAGGAACACCTGTGAGGCCTTCCTTGCATTTCTTCAAAAGGAGTTGCATTGGATCTTTATGTTCAACTGAGAAGTTGGACAGGATCTTGGTCTAATATCTCATCTAAAAGACAGCACCTCTGACTGTGAGGCAGTCCTTCAGTACTGCACTGGAACATCAATATTGAGTTTTGCACTGAGTTCCTCAGGGCCATAACCTCCTCAAAGGCACATCTGATGCAATTCCCTTATGAAAGCTTCTACTGCATTGCAATGTTGTTATGTTAGAGGGGAAGCTGAGTATAAGGCCAATTCCAAAGGCTAATGTGACCTTCTTCAATTTGAAGTAAAAGCTGGAACAAATCCAAATTCACAAAGCTGCCAACATGGGGAGGAATTAGAGACAACAAGGTGCAGGACTGGATGAACACAGCAGGCCAAGCAGCATCATAGGAGCAGAAAGGCT